GATCCTAGGTTATCTTTGTATAAATTAGTTAGAATTAATTTAGCAAATTTTTTTGTAACTCAACCTATATCAGATGCTCCTACAGTTTTTACTGATGGAGGGAAAGTTTTTGGTGCTTGTGTTTGGAAAGATAAATCTGGAATTTGGCATACAAAAGTGACATCAGAGCAGAAGTCTGCCCAGCAGGCAGAACTTGCTGCTGTAGTTTTGGCTTTTCAAAATTTTCAAAATCAGGATTTTAATCTAATTGTGGATTCTTTGTATGTGTATAATTTGTTACCCTTTGTAGCAGGTTCCTATTTGTCTCCTGGAATATCACCCAATATTTTAAAATTGCTTTTGCTGTTGCAAGGATATTTGGAGCAGCGTGTGAATGTGTGTTTTGTTGCCCACATTCGTAGTCATAGTAATTTGCCTGGGATTTTATCACAAGGTAATGCCAAAGCTGACAGTGCTGTAACTTCAATCCTCACTGTCCAGCCATGGGACAGCCATAGTTATTTTCATCAAAACGCTAAAGCGTTGGCATACCAATTCAAGCTTACTGCTGCAGAAGCTGCTGCCATAATTCAACAATGTCCAACTTGTTCTAGGCAGGGCACGGCTATCCCTATGGGAGTCAACCCCAGAGGGTTGAAACCCTCAATGATTTGGCAAATGGATGTTACTCAATATCCGCCATTTGCGCCCTGGAAGTATATACATGTGACTGTGGATACTTACTCAGGATTTCTAATGGCTACCCCTCAGAGAGGTGAGGCGGTTAAACATGTCATCAACCATTGCATTAAGACATTTTCAGTTGCTGGTACGCCTCAAACTTTAAAAACTGACAATGGTGCGGCTTATCGGAGCACAGTCTTTGATCAGTTTTGCAAACAGTGGTCCGTGGAACATAAATTTGGGATTCCATACAATTCTACAGGGAAGGCTATTGTAGAACGTCATAATGGCACGCTCAAGAACATGTTAACTAAATTAAATAAAAAAGGAGGGAAGCTCCTGGGGCTTCCGGCAATTCAAGATCAATTAAATCTAGCTTTATATACTTTAAATTTTTTAAATTTGTCTGGTAATCTTCCTGCGAGTGCGGCCAGCAGGCATTTTTCTTCTCCTTCCACAGATGTGGTGAGGCCTCGGGTGTTGGTGCGGTTCCTTCCAGATCCGGCATGGGTTCCTGCTGAGCTGATTACATGGGGACGTGGTTATGCAGCAGTCGAACATCTTGGTCAAATTCGTTGGGTTCCTGGTCGGTGCGTTCGACCTGATCATTCGCAGGCACCGGTGAAGGAGGTTTCGGAGGAGCAGGATGGCGTACCTGTGGTTCCTGATTCTCTTGATGCCGGCAGTCCGGGCGCGGCGCTGTGAAGACTGGGAAAAGATGACTGCTTATCTGAGGTTACCAACTTGTATGCAGCAGGTTCCTCTGGGGAACCGGACTAAATTAATCTGCAAACAGCGGCATCCTTTGATTTTTCCAGCATATTGGTCCTGGCATAAGGATCAAGACATTCTTTACTCGGGACCTGATAAGGATATTATATCTTCAGCCTGTGCAACAACTCTGATCCTGTTTAATGTTTCTGTTTCAGACTATGGACAATATCGGTGTCAATTGGAGTTGCCTAAGTTACCTTATACAGACTCTCTTTCCATTCGTCTTATGCCTCCACGGACTCTAATACGGAGGCAAAGAGCTGTTATTATTACAGAAACTAGAGACCTTGGTGATAATTTATGGAAAGAAAATTCCTATATCAAGGATGTCCGGATTGCGGCTAAGGGTTTAAATGTTACTAATTGTTGGCTTTGTATGCATGTACCTGGGTCTGGGAAAGGTGGAGTTTTGTTACATGGTGTTCCTTTGAATGAGCGAACCAGTACTAATTTAAGTACTTATAATAATTTTAGTCACTGGATTCACTGGGGCCCAGACCTCGAAAGGTTGAATCAAACATTGTTCAAAACAAAGGTAACTTTCACTACAAAAGCCTCGGTTTGTTATTACCGTCCCCCTGTAGGGACTAATCAATCTATTTTGCTGGGAAATACTACGCTCTGCCAGAAGGTGATTCCTTTGGAAGAAGGATGTATGAAATGTGTAACAAGCAATACTAGTCAGAACAGCTGCATAAATCGAATATCTTCTACATTATCCCAGGCTTTGAAAGTTTCCTATGACTGTTGTATAAATCAAACAGTCACTAAGAGGTCTGGCATTGGTCACGGGGCATATGTTCTTTGTAATTGGATGTGGTTAATATGGAAGTGGGAAAGTCAGGCCTCCGACAATACCAATCATCAGCATTTAAAATACTTTCCCCTTCCGGACGGGTTATGGTTGCTATGTGGGGACGCTGCCTATCAACAGTGGCCAAAGAATTGGTCTGGAGTATGTACTATAGGATTTGTAATTCCTGTCATCTATAAATTGGAGGGTTTACCGATTGGGATGCGTATTCGTAATCATCGAGAAGTTGATTCTGGCCTGACTGTGGGTGGTAATTTGTGGATTCAGATTTCTAGGGCAGCGATCCCACCTATGGGAATAGCTATGAACTATGAAGATATTCATATTTTAAATAATTTTACTGTTGCTATGTTTAATGATACTATTAGAAGCATTAAGATGTTGAATGAAGAAGTGTCTGAAATTCGCCAAGTTACTTTACAAAATCGTTATGCTTTAGACATAATGTTAGCTGCCAAAGGAGGAGTTTGTGCTTTAATTCATTCACATTGTTGTGTTTTTATACATAATTATGAGCCTAACATTACAAGAACTGTTCATGATATGGAAGACCGCATAGCTGAACACGAAGCGGGGAAAGATGGCTTCAATAAGTCATTTTGGGCTTTGCTATGGGATTGGCTTCCTGACAGCTCATGGTTACATTTATTGCTTCAATCAGTTGTAATAATTGTTGCTATACTTATTATGTTATGTTGCTTTATTCAATGTATTCCTAACCTATTTTAAATGTGTACCTCAGCCTTTCAATGTATGGGACCAGGTCGTGAGGGAACTGTGTACTATGCTACGAAAACACCCCCCATTTTTGAATAAATAAAAAAGGAGGGAATGTGGTAATATATTTTATTGGTCATTTTCTGTAAGTCCTTTGTACAGCCATTTTGCATAGATCTAGGGATACGTGGGCATTCCTGGTGGGGGTAGGAGTACCTTCGCAATGGGTGCCTCATCCTGTTGTGATCTGCGGGTTTAGAAGGAACAGGAAAATAGGTAAAAGTTCAAGGTACACAGCAGGGACTTTCCTGTGGGACTTTCCATGGCTGTATGTTCCCATGGGACTTTCCATGACTGTATGTTCTCATCCTGTTGAGGTAATATCCTGTTGAGGTCATTGTTTTCTGAATATGCATTCTGTACTTTCATTTTCTTTTCCTCAATAAATACTGCTACCTGGGTTCGCTCGGGGCTGGCATTTGCTCAGACATTTTCCCTGTGTCTCATTTCAAGTGCCAGACCACCACAATTTACCCCCGACGAGAATGGTGAGAATGTTCAAGAATAAATTGGATAAATGTTGGAAATGTCATCAGATAGCTGGTTCATATTACCATATGTGGTGGACATGCTTGGATGCAAAAAGATATTGGACTATAATCCACACATAGTTGGAAAAGATGATAAAACAACACATAGACTTTACACCTGTTTTTATTGGGAATTATACCAGAAATATACAGCAAAGAATTGAAATATTAGATTTTAAATGTTTTAACAGTGGCTAGAATAATATTTGCTAAGAACTGGAAAAATGAAAAAATACCTAGGCAGGAGGAAATTATTAAGAAAATCATGGACTGTGCCAAAATGAGTAAATTGACATTTGAAATTAGAGAACAAGAAATTAAACAATTTTATATGATATGGGATTTATTTTATCAATGGTTAGATAAAAAGACATGGTAAAGAAATAGATTAGGAACCTCAACAATAAAAGTTAATAGATTAATATAGAACATAATATAAAATATACAACCATTGGATGAATGTATAAGATTAAACCATAATGAAATTTAGAATATCTCATATACAATGATGGAAAACTAGTTTAGTCAAATGAATGATTAATAATTGATACTACATAAGCACATGTTAGATTGACAAGCTGAGAATTTATACAACTTGTGAGTAATGGTTAAAAAAAAGGATAGCACAAAAGATTGTAACCAACTAACACACTGTATGTATATAATTTAAAGATGGTTTTATGTTTTTATGTTTTGTTTGTATGTTTGTTGTAAAAAATAAAAACTTTACAAAAAATTTTTCCTATCTTTTACATTTCAAAGAAGACCAAACAATTAAAAATGGATACCCTGTGAGAATGTGCTAAATCCATTTCTACAAAATATTCATTAGCTTTATCCCATATTTATACAGTGGTTTAAGAAATGAAGCTATTAAAACCATGAACTGGAAGCTGCAAACTTTTAGGCATCCTTAAAGTAAACATCGCAAATCTTCTAATAGCTAGATGCTCAATCTCTTGTTTGTTCGATGTATTCAGAGGAAAAAAGTGTTAGGTTAAATAAACTTGGAGAATGTCAGAAAATGTAGCAAATGAGCACTTCATTTGGAATAGGAAATAATGAATTTAAATAACAATCCCAATACTTCATAAAATCTTGTTTGATAGAAATAAGGATGTCTAAAATAAAAATAATGATAATATTATGTAATAATATTAAATAGAATAATAGCAAATGCTCTATTCTTTTTTGTTAATCATTTCCCATGGCCAGAAAGAACACATAATGTGCTAATTCCTCTTTATGAGTTGCTCCCTGTGGTTGAGGTCAGGTCTCAAAACAACGATGTAACACTTTGGCAGGAATATGCATCCCAGTAATGCAGCACTGGAGGACAAGATGGAGAAGACTTCCACGGCTACCATGGCTTTTCCTTTTGCGCTCAAGTAGGCTGGAAAGAAGGAGATCCACACACTGCAAAAGGCCAACATGCTGAAGGTGATGAACTTGGCTTCATTAAAGCTGTCAGGTAATTTACGGGCAAGGAAAGCCACAATAAAGCTGGCGATGGCCAAGATACCCATGTAGCCCAAAACACAGTAGAAGAAGAAAGCTGACCCCTCATTGCACTGTAAAACCATTTCTTGGAGCTCTGACTGCATGTCCATCTCAGGGAATGGGGGAGATGTTGACAACCAAAGAATACAAAGACACACTTGTAGGAGAGAGAATGAGATGACAATAGAAACAGCCAATCTTTTCCCCACCCATTTCCTCATCTGAGAGCCTGGTTTAGTGGCCATGAAAGCCACAACCACAGTGATGGTTTTGGCCAGAACACTAGAAATGGCCACTGAGAAGGTGATTCCAAAAGTAGGTTGCCGGAGAAGGCAGATCACTTTGCCAGGTTGGCTGAGGAACAAAAAAGAGGAGAGAAAGCAGAGCTGAAGAGAGACAAGTATGGTGTAAGTGAGGGACCGGTTGTTGGCTTTGACAATGGGAGTATCCC